TTAATAATTATTAATTAGTTAATAATAATTATAATTAATTAATTTAACTTAATAAAAATTCATTCAATAAAATAATTTGTCAAATGTAATGTAGCGTAATTTGGAATTTAAGTTTCTTCGTAAAATTAAAAATAAGGTATTTAATTAATAACTGTTGTAACTATAGTGAAAAAATAGGGTGGTTTGCGTTAATATTAGACATAACTGGTTAATGGCTGTGCCACCTCAGCCAACCGTGACCATGAGACCTGTAAAGGGCCCGAAACGTTTGTTTGAGAAAACAAATATACGCAATTTAAATCTGGAAAAATAGTTTCATTTCCTAAACACCTAATTATTTAGTATCAGTAGAGCTTGTTGTGAAAGATTTCATCCACAGAAGTACTGCTACTATACCTATTCCTGCTGCCATGCAGTAATGTGAGCATTACTGTGTTCCAGTTTTGAAGGGTTAAGTGCCGGTGAAATTACATACACATGGGACTTGTCAACTTATGTCATGGTGACCGGCACAGTGAGAGTGCCCCACGGATCTTTGTGATTTAAAGCTCTGAGTGGCATTGCAACTGCTATGGACATTGTGTCGCTTACCTTGTACGCTTACATACGCACGACTTGTTATCAAACGAAAAACCTCTTTTTTTACATTTTTCCGTCAATTTCTGGTATATATTTCAGATATGCACTTAAATACTTTGAAATCAATCCCATACCACCATTTGAAGTATTTATTCACCACGAAGATTCTTACAATGTGGCGCCAAAGAAACGCCGTCTTCAAGAAAGCAGACAGAAAATATCACACCATGACATGGTGCGATGCTGTTATTATCTTCTTAGGAGGTTGCCAAACGAGCTGTCTTCTAAATGGGATTGGACAAAATTTGTGATCAACTTCAGTGACAATGAAAATGTGGAAATTCGATGGTATAACTTTTTATCTGACGTCTATTAGATCACCACGTAGCTCAGTTAATTAAGCACCTTAAATATTATGTTGTTTGCTGATGTAACACAATAAAAATCTGTTGAACTGACAATATGGCAATCTAATAGGTGTACTGCCTAAACATGTTTTGATTTTTAATACTGTGAATAAAAAAATAGTCTACAAAAATAGATATACAAAAAAATGATTTATTTGTCTATAATAAATACTTTTTATGTAAGCAATAATTTTTTTGAAATGCTTGTGTAATACACATGTGGGCAGTATATTAGAACTGCTACAGAAAAAGTTAATAATTATTTTATTTTTCAGGATGGTAAAAGAATGCATAGCCATAATCACAAATATGACTGATGCTCAATCAGAAGTGTTGGCCGAAAACTTAAATCTTTCCAAAGTAGACTGCATGAACAGTAAATTACGACATATTGAAGAACCACCACACTACTTAAATACAGGGCAAGCTATTGCCTTAAGTGATTTTAAAGCTGCCAATGTTGTGAACATTGATGGAATAATGCTCCCTATTTATGATAAGACAAATGTTCAAAATGGAAATTTAGTTCCTGTAAAATCTACTGTTGATAATTTGAGAAGTTTAGCTCTCGCTATTGCATCAGGTATGTTTTATATTATTTGTAATTGCAGTAATGAGTCTCATGAGATATATTGAATGAAACAAAACTGCAAACTAATTATTTTTTACTGGATAAATTGTATAAATGGGAACACTGCCAGAACGATCAGTGTCCCCGGGCTGTCTTTCGCCTTGTCATTAGGCGATTGGCTTTTAGTGTCATGGCTTTACTTTGAGATGGAATCGAAGTTCGAAAATGTAAGTAAAGGTGGATGGATGCCATTACAATAAAATATTTTAAGAATAATGGAAATATGAAAAGATCTAAAAATATATGCCAGATGTTTTGTATTGTTATTAAATTGTGTGAATGTATGTACACAAACAAAATATTATCAAGTCATCATTTTTATTTAGAACACCCTATTTAATAAGATTAGCCCGAAAAACTGATTCCAGTGTAAATGTTTTGTTATCCTATTGGCAATGTTTCAGGGATGCACAAGCTTTTGCTGTTATTTCATTTATTTGGAATTTATTAGGCATACAAACACAAATACTTTTAAACAGAAGCATTGTTAACAATAGTTTATTGTTATAATATTTTTATATTTTATTTTTAGTGAGAATTATGAAATAAAAATAATAGAATTATGCAGTATTAAATAGTGTTAATTGCAATAATTAATAATAAAAGTATATTCGGCCATAGAGGCAGTTATTGAATGAAATTACAATATTTAACCCTATTTGTCCTGAGTAATAACTAAAGGCAATGATGTCTTAACTACTAGATATAAGTTATATCGAAAACAAAACTATTTACAGTTTATGTTTGCGCCGTGCCTGCGATAATTTTTTAAATGCCGTTTCTTAAATTTCTCAATTTAACATATTTTATAATACAAGATGATTCTTAAAATTCTGTAAGTTGTTTGGTCCAGAAGGGTATTTTTTCTATTATAATTATTATTACTCGTAGTATGAAAAGTATTACCTGTTAATAAACGAACTGGAAAAAAGGTTTTTGATCTATGAGATGTCACTTTAACAGTGACAGTTGTTTGTTTACATTTTTGGACTCAATTTCATCTGAGAGGTTACTGCAGGAAAGTGTCTGGCAGATAACATTCGAAAAATAATTAATGAAAAAAGCACAGACCTAAGACATTATATTATTATCCCATAGTAACCATTTATTTTTCTATTTACAATCATGGAATTTGATTATTACTGAAACTGATCCTCTAAAAGTGTGATGAGGGTGTGAGACTGTGAATAAAATTATAAAAATAATGTTGCAATTTTTACATTATTCTTTTTCTAAAAAAAAAGTAAGGATACCCTTATTTAAATGATAAGTAAAACACTTATCATTTAAATACTCTAGTCACTGTTTTTTTACGTTATGGTTAGCAATCCTTAATTAACAAGTGATGATAAAGTTATATCAAGTTCCTGTGAGTATACTATAGTAATAAAATATATTTTTCGAAAGTCTAATTCAGTCGATACATTATTAAATATTGCAGGCAAAGCCCTCTGCCTTCTGGGTCCAGTAGGATCTGGCAAAACATCCCTAGTGGAACATTTAGCAGCGATTACTGGCCGCAAAGGAATTGCTTTCAAGAAAATACAGTTGGGGGATCAGACAGATTCACGAATGTTGTTAGGCTCCCATCAGTGTACAGATATGCCTGGAGAATTTGTGTGGAGACCTGGTGTTTTGACTGAGGTATGATAAAATTATGATTATCATTAAAATTATTTATTAACTATTTTTATACAGGCAGGAAAGGCTGTGTCCTGGGAAAGTACTTTAAATATTGTAGATAGGTTGTTCTCCGACCGTTATGTGCCGTTGCCTCATCTCGAAGTACTAGTATCGGCAGCAAAACGCATAATTCAGTTTTCTAAACTTAAATGTAATTTCATAGTGTTTCTTTAATTCAAGATAGAATGTTACATAAAATTAAATAATCGTTATAATTGATCGTTTGAATCATCATAAAAATACAGGCTGTTTTTTTTCCCATTTGATCAGTTCGATTCTCAAATGATGCAAACAACTTTTTACAAATCTTTGAATGCGTTTACTTTTAAAAATAATATAATGTCTCCATGAAGCAATAATTATATCCTATCTACAATATTTAAAGTACTTTCCTCCCATTTCGCATAGCCTTGGAACATTCTGTATAATCGCGTGCGGATGCAATTTTGTCAAATTTCTAGTAAATTCTAATAAACATTTATTCAATAATCCAATTTACTTACATATTATAATAAATCAATTTGTATGATTTTGCAGGCCGTACAAAGTGGTCATTGGCTACTCTTAGAAGACATTGATTGTGCTGCATTAGACGTAGCATCGACACTTAGTTCTCTGCTTGAACGAAACACACTCTGTGTGCCAGGATACAGAGATTCCTTACCTGTCACTCCTGGCTTCCAACTATTTGTAACACAAAGGTATGTAAATAAAAGAAGAATACATTTGTTTCTTTTTTCCTGGTTTATTTTGTAGATAACAATACAGCTTTTATTTTTTTTTAGAACTCTTGTCACTAATTATGGATTCCAAAAGAAAATGTCGAACTCCAGCACTTTACTGCAGAAGCACCTAGCCCAAATAAACGTTGAACCCCTCTCAAGATCTGAACTTGGAGAGATCATTCAAACTGTTTATCCAAGTCTTTCGACCATTTGCTCAAGAATGATTGAAGTTTTCATGATGTTCTCAGTTGGCAGCCATGATACGTCGTTGCAAAGTACTGAAATATTTTCAGACAGCAATGTAGTTGTTATGAGAGGATCCAGACTGATCTCTACCAGGGATCTATTAAAGTGGTGTTCCAGGGCAGTTGTAGGCTTCAATGTGTCAAGTCAAGAATCTGCTTTGAAAGTACTACAAGATGCATTGGACATATTCACTTGCTCAGTTTCATCGCCGGTACACAGACTTGAGCTAGCCAAAAAAGTAGGAACTTATTTAGGCATTGTTGAAACCAAATCAGAGTTTTATTGCAAACACTACAAACCAAATGTGTCATTAAACCCGACAGCTATAGAAGTAGGCAGAGCGAAAGTATTCCGAAAAGAAAAGGGTCCTGAAACAGTGGATTTTGATAACAAACAAGTAGTATTCTCTTTTACTCGACAATCTGCTTGTTTACTCGAACGAATTGCTTGTTGTGTCGCGTCTAACGAACCTGTATTGCTTGTTGGAGAAACAGGAACTGGAAAAACTTCGTCTGTTCAATATTTAGCTACACAAACAGGACGCAAACTAACGGTCATAAATATGAATCAACAATCTGACTCTGCTGATTTACTAGGTGGGTATAAACCTGTGGATCTGAAATACGTCATTCGACCAATCAGAACTGAATTTGAGGATCTCTTCCGCAGTTTTTACAATGTTGAGAAGAACAAAAAGTTTCTTAGTCACATTGAAACATGCTATGAGACAGAAAATTGGACTGCACTTGTGACTTTAATGAAACAGAGCTACAAGTCTGCAGTCAGCCGACTGAGCAGCGAAACAAAAGAGAAAAATCTTGCAAAATGGTTGTCTTTCGGACATAAACTTGTGAAGTTAGAGCAGCAAGTAAAAGCAGCATCCAAATTATCCTTTGCATTTATCGAAGGTTCTCTTGTCAAAGCAATGCAGAAAGGTCATTGGGTATTACTTGATGAAATCAATTTGGCGTCTGCTGAAATACTGGAATGTCTCGCTGGTTTATTAGAGGATAAAAACGAAACTATACATCTAATTGAAAAAGGAGATAAAGTTCCTATAAAACGTCATCCAGACTTTACTTTATTCGCATGCATGAACCCAGCAACCGATGTCGGAAAGAAAGATCTTCCAGTTGGTCTTCGAAACAGATTCACGGAGTTCTTTATTGACGAGCTGACAGAACGAAATGATTTGATTTTGCTCATTGGAGACTATTTGTACCACATGAACCTTAGCGGTGCTATTTTGGAGGCTATCTACAGTTTCTACGCGAACATACGGAAAGAGGCTAAATTAAGCCTTGTTGATGGTGCTGGTAAGGTTATTTACGTTCTACTTCGTATTTAATACTGCAAGCAGTGACAGTTTCCTTTGTAAGTAGGTAATGTTTTATTCATGATTATTATTCTTTTTAGGTAATGCTCCCCATTATTCTCTCCGAACATTGTGTAGAGCTCTGACAGCAGCGGCTAAAGCAAAATGTGGGACAGTTGTCAGATCTTTATATGAAGCTTTCTGTCTGTCCTTCCTTACACAGTTAGACAGTTCCTCACATCCAAAAGTTGAAGCTATGATTGCTAAGTAAGTGATTGATTTTGTCTTGAACTTTGTTCATAAAAATCTTTCTAAAATGTAAACTGACTTACGAATTGTTCGTTTTTGTTGCAGGGCTGTAATTGGAAAGAAAAATATCACTTCTGTACTGAACCAGATGATCCCTGAACCTCAAAACCTCGGGCAAAATTACTTACTCTTCGAAGGACATTGGATTCCTCAAGGCAAATTGGAAATTGTAATCCCTGAAGGCTATATTCTTACACCAACAGTGAGAAAAAACCTTCGAGACGTTGCGAGAATAGTTTCTTTGGGGCGTTTGCCAGTGTTGCTGCAAGGTGATACTTCGGTAGGAAAGACTTCACTGATCACGTACATTGCAAAAGCGTCGGGGAATTATTGCGTTAGGATAAATAATCACGAGCATACAGATCTTCAAGAATATATCGGATCATACGCTACGGATGCGTGTGGAAAACTAGTCTTCAAGGAAGGTGTCCTCGTTGAAGCTATGAGAAAAGGACATTGGATTATACTTGACGAGCTAAACTTAGCTCCAAGTGACGTTCTAGAAGCTCTCAACCGTGTACTGGATGATAATCGGGAACTATTCATACCAGAAACACAGAAAGTCGTTAAAGCTGACCCCAATTTCATGCTGTTTGCAACGCAAAATCCCCCTGGATTGTACGGCGGACGAAAGTTGTTGTCAAGAGCATTCAGAAATAGATTTGTTGAATTACACTTTGATGAGATTCCCAAAAATGAGCTTGAGATAATTTTGCATCAAAGATGTCATGTGCCTCCAGCATATAGTAAGAAAATGATCGCTGTAATGGCGGAGCTTCAATTACGAAGACGCGGCTCCGCTGCCGTGAAAGGTAAAGATGGTTTTATCACCTTAAGAGATTTGTTCAGGTGGGGTCAAAGATACAAACATGCATCAAAAGAAATGTTCACTGACGACAAATTTTACGACTGGGATCAGCACATAGCGGATGAAGGCTACTTGATATTGGCCGGCAAAGTGCGCCAAGTGGACGAAAGACGAATTATTGAAGAGGTAATAGAGAAACACATTAAAAGAAAGGTAAGCCCTGAAAATCTATTTAGTCTTCACCATGACACTTCACCTGTGACAAAATCGATCCTAAAGATGATTCTGAACAACTGTCTTCAAGAATTCTCCCACATTGTATGGACTTACAATATGAGACGGTTAGCTGTTTTAATAGCCAAAGCTTTTACTTTCAATGAACCTGTTTTGCTAGTTGGAGAGACAGGTTGTGGTAAAACGACAATCTGTCAAGTTCTTGCAACATTGAAAAATCGCCGACTTCTTTCTGTCAATTGTCACATGCATACAGAAAGTTCAGATTTCTTAGGAGGTTTACGCCCAGTGCGTGAACATAAAAAAGATGGACATCTCTTTGAATGGGTAGATGGGCCTTTGATTAAAGCAATGGAAGGTGGAGACATGTTCTTAGCTGACGAAATATCGCTTGCAGATGATAGCGTCTTGGAAAGGTTGAATTCCTTGCTTGAACCTGAAAGGCAACTAGTGTTAGCTGAAAGAGGTATGGAAGAAAACTCTGATATTGTTGTGATTACTGCCGAGGAGAATTTCCATTTCATTGGAACTATGAACCCTGGAGGGGATTTTGGAAAAAAAGAATTATCACCAGCATTAAGAAACAGATTTACTGAAATATGGTGTGATAGTGTTACATCAAGAGAAGACCTTCACAAAGTACTTGAAAAAAGTGTTAGTAAAGGAATTTCTCTAGGAAATCAAGAAGACGGAAGCTCAGGGATTGGCAATTCTATATTAGACTTTACAGATTGGTTGAAGAATTCCGAAGTTACAAACAAATTTCCATTCAGTATCCGAGATTTACTGTCATGGGTTCATTTCATCAACATTACTGTTGCCAAAGGTCTTTTGGATACTCCTGAAGCTTACGTTCATGGAGCATGTATGACATTCCTTGATTGCTTCGGAACAGCTTTAACTGGTCATATTGATTCTGAAACACTAACTGTACTACGCAGTACAGCCATCAATTTCTTACTCGACCAAATCAAAACTGTTGGAAACGAGTACACACAGAGTTTGAGAGAAATTCTTAATGAAAAGAATATAACGCCAATGATAGCGGAATCTGACGATTCGAAGTTTGGAATGAAACCATTCTTCATTAAACTAGGTAGCTACCACAATATTACTGAAGAACAGAAATTTACCTTTACTGCTCCAACAACTGGATCAAATACACTGAGGCTATTGAGAGGTCTGCAGTTAAATAAAGCTATTTTATTGGAAGGTAATCCTGGTGTAGGAAAAACAAGTTTGGTGACAGCGTTAGCTAAAACGTCTGGGCATAAAGTTGTCCGTATCAACTTGAGTGACCAAACAGTAAGTGTACATTATTTTTTTGTTAATTTGAGTGCTGGGATCGTAAAATCAATACTTTATCTTCTTTCAGGATATTACTGACCTTTTCGGAACAGATCTTCCCACTGAAGATGGATCATTCACTTTTAAAGAAGGCGCATTTTTAAACGCTTTACAAAATGGAGATTGGATATTGCTAGATGAACTAAATTTAGCGCCACAACCTGTTCTTGAAGGTCTAAACGCATGTCTTGATCATAGAGGAGAAGTTTACATCCCGGAATTAGGCAAAACTTTTAAAGTGAAACAACAAACTAGACTGTTCGCTTGTCAAAATCCGTTAAAACAAGGAGGTGCTCGAAGAGGTTTACCCGTGTCATTCTTAAATAGATTCACGCAAGTATACATTGATACGTTGACAAAAGAAGATCTAATTTATATCGTCGAAGCGCAATATCCTTCCTTACCGAAGGATATTCTTCACAGAATAGTGAAATTTAATTGTAAAGTTGGTCACGAAATCACAGAAATGCAGTCTTGGGGCCATAAAGGCGCACCCTGGGAATTGAATTTGAGAGACATCCAAAGGTGGTGTGAAGCTATAATTGAAGATCAGAGCAATTCCAAGGATATATCTCCTGGAAAAATTGTGGACATGCTTTATGTTCATCGCATGAGAACAGCTGAAGATAAGGAAAAAATGATCACAACTTATGATGAAATATTTTGCCCCGAATATCCAAGAAGTGATACCACTCCTCAGTTTAATATAAACGATAAAGAAATTATCATTGGGGACGTTGTTTTAAAGAGGAAAACCGAAAGGTTGTTTAAAAATCGCCGCGCATTGGATTCTAATTTACTGGTGTTACGAAATCAACTGCCGACTTTGAAATCTTTGGCTCAGAGCGTCAAAATGAACTGGCTTTCTATAGTAGTTGGACCGACAGCGACAGGAAAGAGTAGCATAGTGCAAGTCCTTGCCGACTTAACTGGCAATGAGCTACAAGTCTTACCTGTAACCTCAGCAATGGATGTATCCGATCTTTTAGGAGGATTTGAACAAGTGGACTACAATAGAAATCTTGAAAGTCTTTATGACAAAATAGAGACTATTACTATACAGACTATACGCAACATGTGGCTGATTGGAGAAAACAGTCAACGACAATCAAATAAACTACTGAGTCAGTTGCATCAGTACAAATCTTTACCCGCAACTTCTGGTACTGCTTCTGATAATGACACGCATAATTTCAACCATAAAATCAATTTTCTCTTACACTACTGCGAGAAACTCGTCGAATATGCCAAGATGTACGATGTAGCATCCGACAAATTGATAGCAATCATAAACACTTTGGAGAATTTGCAATCAAAATGTGTAAAAGCGTCATCAATGAACGCTGGAGGGAAGTTTGAATGGGTTGATTCCCTACTAGTAAAAACCATGATTGAAGGTTCCTGGTTGGTTCTTGACAATGTGAATTTTACTTCTGCTGCCGTTCTGGATCGACTCAACGGATTATTAGAACCAAATGGTGTGCTGAGCATTCCAGAAAGAGGAGAGTCCAGTGAGATAACTCCACACCCCAATTTCAGAGTTTTCTTTACTATGGATCCGAAATATGGGGAAATTTCTAGAGCGATGAGGAATAGAGGCGTGGAAATATTCTTGCTAAGACCTGACGATTGGAATACAAATTTGTCTGAAACGGTGACTCATATGGATTTAATGGCATTGCTATTTTCATCAGGCTTAAATCCATCATACTGGAACTTTTGCGTCGAAATACATGAACTCATGAGTTCTTTCGTCCAAGGTAACTTATTTATTTTGTTGTTTTGTCGCAAAACCGTGTTAAACATAATATTTTTACAATCGTAACTTTTTTGCAGGTTTTGAACGGCCAACAATGTCACATTTGCTCCAAGCTGCTCACTTGATGTATCAGCAAATGACTAGAGGTATACCCTACAAAACAGCTACATTGAACGCATTTTCTGATGTATACATCAAACCACGGTGCGGTGGCGATTTTGTGTCAGCTGTCAAAACGTCTTTAGCTGAAATGAAGAATTCAATGTTAAAGTCGTTACAAAAATCATGTCAAAACTTCAAGCCCTTCGAACATGCTGAACAAAGTCACACTTTGACCATCAAAGGACTGTGCGTTGATTCGAAGCTGGAATTTACCAACCAAATTTTATATCCTTTCCCGTTACTGAAACGTGATGGATTTTTGAGAAAATATTACAATAGTGCATTACTCTCACTTTTCCATTTATTTACGGCGTACCAAAAATGCCCCAACGAATATTTTGAAATAATTTTCACCCTTTGGAAAAAGCTGGACCGCCAACGCGTAAGCTGGCCCACACGGATTTGGTATCACGACGATTTCGAAAGTTATTTAGCGAACAACAGGAATTTGGAATCGTACAAGTTATTCTATCCAGAACACTTCAAATTAGACCAAAACAACATCCGAGAGGCGAATAGGAAAAATTTACTACTCTTCCACATTGTGATGAAAGAGTATTTACTACACAGTTCGCTTTTTGATGCGAAATCAAATACTTTGTCGGCTTTGACATATTCCAAGGCAGTATTAACAGGAGCATTATCAGATGAGTTTGCCGAATATCCCATACTGAAACACTGTGAGCTATACGTTGGAATCATTGACAAATACATCGAAAATCTTATCAACAAGGCAAAAGAGTCATTGGATGATCAAGCGTCTTGTCTTGTTATACAACTCCTTAATTGGAGAAAAAGATTCCTTCAAATTTGCTGTGAACCAATCGTCTGTTCCGGAAAAGGATCGAAAAAAATATTCCGAGTTGAAGAGGTAGTTCCATTACTTTACATCCATAGCAAATGGGTTCAAAAACATCTTCTTGGTGAACTTTTGAAATGGGCCAAGAACAAAGATCTGGAAGCCTTATTCAAGAAAGAAGTAGCGATCATAGCAATTTCTGAAGAAGATAACACACAAATGGCAAAGCTTGGGAAGAAATTGCGTAAATTAAATGGTCAGCCCAAATTATATGAAGTGCAAGATGAATTTGACAAAGCCAGTGAAAGAACAAAAGTATATGAAAAAATTACATTGGATATGAATCAACCCATTGAAAAACAGTTACACAAACTTTTTATTGACATAAATGAGGTGACTGATTCAGTCTTCGCGCTGGATATTCCAGATAGTGACGTGTTAATGAAAATTCAAGATAACCTTAACAAAATAGAGGCTGCAAAAACCATTGCGAAGTTGTCGGATATAAAACTAATACCACTAAATTGCTACGTCGTTCAAAGAGTATTCACTATCTTGCAAAAAGATTTTCATAAAATTGTAACAGCGCTTTCACGTGACGATTTCAATATTGCCAATGACGTTAATTACGTTAGTGAATACAGAGATATTTTAACCAATGTGATACATTTGGGGTCTGTATTGAAAGGATTTTCACCAGTTTTATTGAATTTATTGCAAGTTATTCAAAAGTTTTTGGATGGCAATGAGAACTTCCGGACTAGGTAACGTCTATTTAGATTTTTATTCCAGTTTTGGATATTTTGTTGACTCCCAGAAATAATCCTCTTAAAGATATTTTTTTTACATAAAATATAAACATTGCTTATTATGACAATAGTTAATTTATTTCCAGAATGTCATCACTACCAGTCCGGTTTTGGGACGAATTCTACAAGGACATTGTAAATTCCCCAGCATTATATCCCCTACCATTCCTGCAAATAGGGAAATTTTCAGATAACGTCATTATTGAAACTCCGTCTAGCAGCAAAAGATTTTCCTTGGACTTGCCTTTGATGCCTTATTACATACAGAAATTGACCATATCTGAGGAAGAAGGTGAGTTTTGCTTAGATAAACAGCGTCAGGAGTCAATTTAAATTCAATTTTATGGTCATTACGTTAATAAAAGTTCAAAGGTCAAATTGTCAAGTTTGATGTACTCCTGACTTCTATATTAGAACACAGGAATATAATAGGCAAGTTATCTGATGAAATCTTAACAGTTAACCCAGATGCTTTGAGCAAATATAGACTGCCATGTATTGGATCTCTATTGTTGGTTACTACAATAATTTTAATGGAAGTATTTCTTCACAGGATCGCGCCATTTGCTGTCTTATGAAACCGTGTCATTAGAAGAACGAGAAGAGCACTCTGTACAATTGAGTACAATTTTGAACATTTTATGGAAGAATATTGGAACTTTAGATGCTGCAGCTACATTAAAATTGTAGGTATTGCATTAATTAATGATAATGTTTTCACACAAATATGTGTTTATGAACTTGATACGAAAGCAGGATATTAAGATTTTGGAATATTATGAATTCATAACATCTTGTGGTCCTTAAATTTAAATCTTTACATTAATATCACATATTCTTTTCAGAAAATCAAACGCCGAATTCGAAATTACTAAATACAATCATCTTAGAGAGAATTTGCAATCTATTTTGTTACCTTTGGATACAAAAGTTTCCACTTGCGCTGTAAAAACAGAAGAAATGTACAAACATGACACTGTTTTGGCAGACATGCTGAACGAAGCCGATGAAATATACAAAGAACTATTAAGTACAGTGAAAAATATCGGCGAAAGAAATGAAAAGCTTAGAACAAGGATTTTGACAGCAGAACTCTCTTTACTGACAAGTCTTGTTTGGATAAAAGCAATATCAGAAATGAGTCCCATTGATCATGTAGAGAAATATACACTTAAAGCCAAGTACATAAGGGAGGATATTGAAACATTCAATGCTCTACTTAGCGCGTATTACATCCAAGGACTTGTGTCGGGTAGTATTACAACAAGTGACAAAATAGAGACAGCTATAGACGTGACCGAAGCACATTTGAAAGAAAACAAAGTCGATTTGAAAAAGGTGCACCCCTATTGCAGTATTTTGATGGAAATGAAGGAAAAAACAATTGAAAGGATACAAAAGTACGCGTCATGGAATTCTTTCAGACCTGAAGAGCCGACTTATCTCACTTTTGCTAAGGTGAGATCAAATTTTATGTAGTACGAGCTGGTGCCCCGACTTCGTCTGTGTAGAATAAGTACTTCGAGTAGCCCACTGTACTATATTAATTTTCATAGTTTTATTGGTTCTCCATACAATCTCTATACCAAAATTCATCAATATTGCTTCAATGATTTAGTCATGAAAACGTAACAGACACAGTTACTACCGAATTTGTAACATTAGTTTTGATTAAAATCTGACTACAGAACATTGAAACCTCCCAATAAACAATCTATGTAAATATAAATGACGAGCTCTGTACCCCACCTACGGTGGTGTCGGGCTCGGCCTGCGGCGCGAGGTCGGGTTCAGTTTACGGGGTGTGCTCAAGCTCCTCGATGGCACAGCAGTTAGAACTACGGGCGCTTGATGAGGAGTTCGATTCCCGATTTGGGCCAATTTAAGAAACGAACATTAAATTTCTAGGTTGGTTTTGGCCTGAGTATTCTGGGTTATCGTTGTTTCGATATTCATAGTACAGAAAATTCGGCAGCAGTTTGGCATTTTTTCTCCCTGTATACTTCTCTTTGGCATAGCTTTCAAGAAAATGGAATCTAACAGAGAGACGATCGAGATACAACAACGCTATAATAAGTTTCTCATTTCCGCTACATCGGGAAGTATGCCTTACATTTTTACAATTGTGAGATCTTATACTCGTAATCTATTACCCTCCGTATATTACCTCCATCGCGATAGCGTGCATACACTTCGGGCTTCGCCCTCCGTAGACCTCGGCCTACGGCCTCGGCACTTATCACTTTGTTTAAAAAAATTAAAATAACTTTAATGGCGGCCATATTTAAAAATTGCAAAAATAAGACCGGGGTCTTCCACATGTCCATTTTCAATTAAATTAGAGCAAACTTTTATCTGTCGCTAAAAAAGTTTGTATGGCATCCATATTGAAAAAAGGCAAAAAATAAATTTTGACCGCAAATTATAATCAAAAACCTATAGAGACCCCCCACATACCTATTTTCAGTTGAATTAGAGCTAATTTTTATAAACGCTTGTTTGGCGGCTATATTAAAAAATGGCGCAATACCAATTTTGATTACAAATTATTATCAAGCACTCCTAGAGAACCCCATATGCTAATTTTCGAAGGGATCTGAGCAATTTTTTTTTCTGTCGCCAATAAACGCTTCTATGACGGCCATATTTGAAAATGGCGAAAAACTAATTTTGAGCACAAATTATTATCCGGCACTTCTAGAGGCCTTCACATGCTAATTTTCAGCCGATGTAGAGCAAATATCTTTAGGCAGCTATTTTTAATGAAAAAAAAGCACTTATATGGCAGCCATATTAAAAAATAGCGAAAATAAATTTTTCACCCCAAATTATGATTAAGGACTCCTAAAGATCCTTGCATGCCAATTTTCAGCCGGATCGAAGCAAGTTTTTCTTCGGCCACCATTTTTTAAATCGCCCTCTTGAATTTTTTTAAAACCAGGCAGTTGACCAGTGTTACCCTCTATGATATTCCTTCGAGCACCTCCTACCTATCTCTAATAGTTTCCGTGATAGAGGGCTTTGAAATTTGTATCGCGGCCATCTTGTTTATTTGAATTTCGAACATTTTTTACTTCTCGCGGAAATTGACCAGGGTGTACCTCATAAAAATGCAAAAATACTCCTTCCGTATATTGTAGTTTTTGCAGGCCGTTGATCACTCTTTCATATCTTCCATAGTTAGGTCCTGTCCTATTTGATTCTTTGCTTTGGAGCCTATCCGCGTACAACGGTATAATTTTTTTTTCCACCATATCGGGAAGTATGCGTTCTATTTCTATCAGTGAGTAAGAACTTGTAGCTTTATATATATAATGGACACAAGAATATTGTAAAGTGAAATATTTGCACTTACGGTGTAGTATTCCATGTAGGGTGCATAGATACATAATTTTTTTTTTGTTTGACCTTATGTATCGTTTGTCCACAGGATTGCAAACATTTTACAAAATCAGTTCTTTCGCCTAAAATAACAAATGAAATATCTACTAATCTTATAACCACATGTAATAGTTTACACGTCGAAATGGAAAAGAATCAGTCCGAAAACAGTACCCTGCAGAACGCCCAAACCGTCATTAAAGAAACTACCTCATGGCTTTATTCCGTCAATGCATTTTACAACAAGCTTCAAACTACATACCATGAAGCTTTTCCAGATTTAGCGAAACCATTGCAAAGTTCTATATCTCAAATTGTATACAGCATCACATTATTGAAAGACTTGATAAAGGAACTAATAGTGAAGTTAGAACAAGGGCCTTTGTTGGCGAATGTTGTAAAGGAGCTAATGATGTACCCGAACGCGATACCTTATAAGGAAATGAAAGAGAAATATTTAAACAGATTTGTGAGAACAGAAGTGATGCAATTGGTTAACCGCAACGTAATTGCGTCACATGAAGATTTGATGGGCGCAGAGACAGAGTGCATGGAGTAAGTAGTTGAAATACTTGTACAGAGTTGGTATTAATAAAAGTTGTCAGTGTGGGCAGTGCCATAGATAGATAGCAAATATGTTTTGTTGATTTCATCCTTGCACAATGACCAGTCTTCATTAAATGATTTCTACTAACTTTTCAGCAAAAATCGCACGCTTAAGTTACCATTATGTTTTTTAATAGTTTTACTTATTTTATGTAAATAAGCCATTTTACATTTGCACTTATAATAGTAGATTGTACAACAAGTGCATAAAATGCGTCATTTTACCCTCGACTTGACTGTTCATAGGATATACTCGTCTCGGGTAAAATGGGTTTTATGAACGAGTTATACACTCTGCTTTTCACTTCGATTGCGAGGAAATTAAACAGCAATATTACAAATAAACGATTATTTAATTAAAATTGAATGTCAATTCTACACGTGACTCAGGTCGGACTACATAATGCTCAGTTATATTTTACAAGCTTTTATTTTTTATGCATTTCCATTTCTTATAACTTATTACAATTACTATTGCCTAATTTTTTAATTTTGTAATATAACACTAATTAAAAAAAATTAAGTAAAACTTTATAAAGTTCTAGTGTGGGTGGTTGTTGGCGCAGGCGTCATTGCCTCGGCCTTAAACGACGATTTTATTTTATGCACTAGAGCATAAAATCCTATTTTATGCAGCCTACACCCAGCCTGAATACGAACTTTAAGGGCATGAGAAGTGAAAAAAGGATTTATTAGTTGCTATTTCTATCAAGTGTTTATAATTTTACAGGATATTAAAAATGAATTTATCTGAACTGAAAATGCACTGCACAGCAAAGGAACGCGTTGACAATATAACAGTGAATGCTGTACTGAATACACTTAGTGCTATTGTCAAAGCTTGGGAGAAACAACAACGGGAAATTGAAAAGAAGAAACAAGATGACGAAGCTTTATATGTTACTAAGTAAGTACCTGTTGTCTGTCTTTTTTTAAGGTGGAGTAATATGACAGTTCATTTCGCAAAAGTGTTGCCCGCTTGCATGCAGTAGTGATTGCACTTGATAAATATTCTATCGACTATCGACTGAATGTTGATTACGCTTATGCAATAAATAACCGAACATGTTTCATTTGAATCATAATCGGCACATTATTCATCCAACTGCTGGGCATAGGTTAATTTGTATCGCCAATTTTTGTAAGTTAATACATACATACCTATACTACATTTGGAACTATTATAACTATTGAAAATACAAAGAGGTGACTTATTTTAAAATTTTCGCGTCAAATCCGCGTGTTTTTATTAAACTGTATGTAACTAAAAATCGATTCCGATACTAATAGGCCCACTGTAAAAATAAGAATAAAAAGGCGATAACGCGCTTAATAATTATTACAACGTTGTAAGATTCACAATTCAGTCCTTTTTTGAAAAAAAAAATAATTTATTTCACAATCTATCGATAAAACTGTCGACAACAACTACATGCCTATTTAAAATTTTATGAAAAATGGCAACCCTGCAAATCTCGTTATACTCCGTTTTCAAAAAAGACAGACTATGCAAAATGAGTTATTTAAATTTAAAAAATAAGGATAAATCGGAGACTTGGGGTCTACTCCCGTCCTCCGTCCGACATCCGTCAGAATTAATTACTGTGAAATAAGTAATACTCGACCAAATCCAAGACTAAAAAAGAAGGCTATGTGAAGTATGAAGCTTCACATCGCATCGTCGCGTCGTCTTTTAATTTGATCGAGTAATACTTATTTGATAGTAATTGTTTCGGACGGATGTTGGACGGAGAATGTAAGTAGGCGGGGGCCTACTCGTTTCAGGGGGAAACGAATTCAAAATTAATGCGTGGCTCAATTATAAAATATTACTTCTTTGTACGGGTAAGAAAAACAATTTGAGAAAAACTATTAATAATAATGTATTTATTTCTCTCCACAAACATAACAACTGAACATGAATAAAAGTAAGATAGACAAAAATAGTGTTTATATTATGTTTGCAAAAGACTGGTACCTAAACTAAGCAGAAGCTTGTAATATAGGAACTAAATGTCAGTAAAGTCCCCATGGAAAATTACTTCCTCATAATTTGAGCTGATATGATGACGTGATCTTGTCACAAAGTATTCTTATAAAATATACATAAATTAGATATTGATTGTATAAATTTATATAAACTCTTTCGTGTCAGATCAAAATGTGAAGATGAAGACGAAGAAGCGATGGCTATAGAAGAAATCAAAAAGATGTTCCCGTCTTATTCAGACAAAGACTTCAGCGAATACAAACCGCCAACTTTAGAACAGAAACCGATGAAAACTATTCCAAATTCAGACAAGAAACTAAAACCATTGATGAGTTCTGAAGACATATCTTTGGTATACCAATGGCATTCAAATTTTGTAAGAAACTTGACTACTGCAGAATGGTTACCTGTGCAAAAGAAATTATTAGGCAATGACGTAATAAGTCCATTCCTGCAAAGATATTCGACTTTCAGTCGGATTATGCAGAACGCTTGGGAAGCATTGGACGTTGAGTTTGAAGGGACTGTGGCACCCAGTCTGATGGTCTTAATATCACAGATTAAAGATAAAATTGATGGGACAGGTGAGATTCTTTGATCATTGATATTTAGTAAGTTACTTGTTCATCTCAGGCTTATAGTTTATTTAAAATATTTTTTTCAGTATTTGTTTGATTATTTTTGGTTTAGTAGCTTTCAAACAAATATAAAGTCGATAGAAAGAGACGTATAGGTTGCAGAGGATTATTGTTGTCTCCGCGCGTTTACAAGCGCTGCTTTGTGGTTGCAAGAAAAACTTTATAATCAGTGACTTTAGCAGTTGATTGAACCAATAGCATTGGAGTGCCTATTGTTTTAAACAGAATATATTACCTTTATTTGGGGTGTACAGTAATTATATTGATCGTAATTAAAATTATGTGCAATTTACTCAACCTGTATATTAATGGAATTTGCTAATGGAATTTGCTTTTGTTCTCTTTTTTTGTTAGTTGTGTTTATATTACAGGCCAATTAGTTTTATTATTTGAATAATTAATAATAATTTTTATTATGAGTATTTTTAGAATTTAGTAACATTAATAATAAATACGTAATTATTATTCTAAATTCTAAAAATTCTTATATTACATTATATTCTTATTTTATATCCATATGTCAAAAGTCACTTTGTCACTTGCGATTTAAATGTAGGTGCTTATTGCAATTTATTTTCATTTAGTAAAGTATTGAAAATCAATTCAGACACGGTAAAGCAGTTATTCTTATAAATGACTTTAAGACAACGAGGTTGGTACAAAGTCTTGAAATAAAACCAGTTGTTTTATTTCAGAATCATCGGGATCTAAAGTAGACTTTTACCGGTCGGCATGGGTGTCGGAGACGAGGCAATGTTTACCATTGTTGCACAGAGTGCGAGAAAGCGTCAATGAATTGCTGGACCAGTGGCCGGATTTCCCAACTTTGAAAGATGTAAGTAAACCATTATTTAAATGTCACTAGAAAGCTGTTATCATCAGCCCATATAAGTCCGACTGCTGGACACGGGTCTTCTCTAAAGAGACAGGTGAAATCACAGTGCTGCATGCAGGTGCAATGTGTGTTGGGGATATCATGTCTATTAAGAGTTTTATGAACTTTCTCCGACATGTAGTTTTCATCACGTTGTGTTGTGTTCCGTTACCGTAAAGCAGTGATATTGAATTAAACTAGAAGTGTAAAAAGAAATGGTGTATATTGAAAAGACTCTCTACTGTGAAGGATCTCCATTTTTTTTAAAAGAACTACATTTTTTTAAGTTAGTTTAAAGAAAGTTTTTGCATTTTTTTTTAAGTAAAAAGTCCAAATGTTTGAGTTGATAACCTATTCATCTGGACCAACGATCTGTAAAAACGATGTCAACAAACATTAACAGCCCTAACCCACTGCTAAAGCAAACTTAAACAAAAATAAATAAACAACATTAGGGTGATGACACCAATGATCGACATTTCAAGAGAAGTGTGTCTTTAAATTTGAAATAATTTTTTTGTTTTTAAATATATTTCAATAGTAATTAGGTTTTATTGAATGTCAGGATGTTCAACAAGTTACCGTTTTTTTTTTCAGATAAACGTAATCGTAAACAGAATACTTAGTTTCCGAGTAACAAGCCCGGTATCTCGATTTCTTACTGGCTTAGAATTACTGCGAGACAAAATAGAAGAGTGGAACAAGAACGCGCATAAAGGAAACAATTTAATTGAAGTGTCTTTGGCAGTTGGGCAACAAATTATAAATTGGAGGAAGTTAGAATTGGCACATTGGAAGGAGTGTCTTAATAATTTGTATCAGAGGTAAGGTGTTTGTTATTATCAAATAATTTTTTCGACATATGAAGTATTGAATTTGTACATTGTTACACAATTCATAGACACGCTTATAATTTTCACGAAAATGAATTATTTACGTCGTACCGTAGAAGACAATAACGTACACAAACGCACACACTCAACATAGCCCTGCACTAGGGAAACCCTGTGTCGCCATGGACACACACATAGACAACCACAAATTACACCCAAACTCACGAGAGAAATAAATGTAGGCCATACAAATATTTATCCCACCCGGGAATCGAAACTGGGACCTCTGTGCGGCAGTCCATCATGGTAACCGCTCGGCCATGGAGGCCGTGAAGATAACACTCTTAATCCAAGTATGAATGCGACTTTTAAGCGTTATAATAATTGTTAGTTCATTATTCATGCTCAGGGCTATGAATGCGGCCATGGTGCGCCACTGCTGGTTCGAATCCAGCCAGATCGAAGGAATTTTTGTTTCTGTTGTTTGATTTTTGTATATAAAGCTTACTTATTTACTTCGCTGGCTCAGCGACCCGAAGTGAATCTTGGCCTCCGAATTGTATATAAAGCTAGCGAAGAATATAAAATATTCCATTTAGGCGTCTCTTTTGTGTCATGGAATAACACTATTGACACCTATGGTAAAATAACTATAATGTTGACCACATTTTCTGCCACACCACTTTTAATTTTATTTGAGTTGCTTTGTCGTAAAAATTAGTCTCGCGTTTAGAACCCGACATTCCTTAAATAGGTGTTGTAAATTGTGACTGAGGTCATCCAGAATAAGGGTAATATTTCCTTTTGTATTAAGATACAGACACTATAATTTTATCCTAAATGCTCCATTTGGAGGTCACTATCAAAAACCAGAGGCTAAGTTACAACAAGCAAAGCTTATTGCTTTGGAACAAGTACATAAGAACAACTAACTTTGCAACAAGTTTTGGTTTTCAGAAAACAATCTGAAGCCCACAAATACTGGTTCTACTTATATTCCGTTGTGACTTCATACCTCAACACGCCAGAGGGCACTGACCCCGTGTCAGCTGATCGCGTTATCAATGTGCTTAAAGATTTCATGGACACTTCGAATTTGGCTGAATATGAAGTTCGATTGGACATCGTATATGTGTATCATTGCCATTTGGTGCATTTAGAGCCCTGTGACAGGAGAGGTAAGATTGAGATTATTTAATATTTATTTATCTCAAAATCTTTGAAGACAAAGATAGAAATAGATACATGACTGGAAAAGAGAGAAGAATACCTATTAGAGATATTTTTTAAAACTTAAGTTTGGGTAGCAATACAGAATTCTGTATTTCACGGATGCTAAAGTCCAATTGACTTTAACATCGCCCAAGAAGCGACTACATATAAGTAAAAAAATTGAGCTATTGCCAATAGACCCATTCCGTGAGGTGATTATTTAGAAGAAAACCGTATTTTAAAAAAACATGTCAGTTGTAAGCCACTCCCATAATTAAATTTTAGTAGCAGTAGAGCTCGTAGTGAATAAATTCGTCCAGGGAAATACTGCCACCTACCTATTTTAGCCGCCAAGCCGTAACGTGAGTATTATTGCGTTCCGGTTTTCGGAAAGGTGAAATTACAGGCACATGGGACTTTTCAACTTTAAGTCTCAGGGTGACGAGCGCAGCGTCAGTGCTTTAAAGCTCTGAGTAGCACTGTAATTGTTTAGGCGTGTCGCTTATCACCTGGCAAACGACTTCTTTATTCTGTCATTTGATATCATAAAAAAATACATCCTTTACCATACTTTTTTCCAGACGAACTCCTCTCCGTATTATGGAACACGTACAACTACTATTCCCAATTTAGTGCACAAGTGGCGGCACACATCAAAGAGAAACGAACACCTATTGAGAAAAAATTAAAAGACTTCGTCAAGATTTGCACTTGGGACCGTGATTTGAGTTACTGGAGCGTTAAAGATACTGTGGAGAAAGCGCATAAGGCATTGCACAAACATACCAAGGAATTTGAGGTATACTTTTTTATGTTATAATTATTCAGCAGCTATTATCTAGAGGATTTTTTTAACTATTAGTTACAGTTGTTAAAACACTACTTAACATAATCAAAACTTACACTGAGTAACTAAACCTAGAAAACAAACAAGCTAAAAATATCTTAATTGTAATTTACATACAAATATAAATAAAACTTCACATTGTTTTATGGATAATTTTCAGGTTAGTTTTCACCATCAAATTCCGAAGCAATTTTTATTATTTAAATATTTTAGAATATTATCATCAAGTATTATTTTTAAATTCGGGTGTAGTATCCTGAAATATTATTTGACATTTCGCAATAACATACTCAATAATTAAATAATAAAAATTGCCACCAAACAAATTAGATAGAGAATCTAACCAGAAAATCATCATCATAAAAGGTCAAAATATCAATATAAAAAAAAACTAAATACTTTAGCAGGTCCTGAATAACATTAGCATTTTGTTAGTCTCTAATTTGTTGGTTCGGGGAATATAACTAGCGTTCAGAATCATGGGTGGAGTCACTCCATGAAATTTTACACGCTGTATAGGATCTGCATTGTACGAAACTGATTTTTGTGTTCTTTTTTCCAGAAAGTTTTAAAAGAAAGCGTAGCCAACTGTCTGGTGGATAAAACAACCGAAGCAGTAGTGGATCACGTCGGTATATGGGACAGACCGAAGCGCGTCACGGGGGCAAACGGTGCTTCAGGAGGCGCTTATATGATAGACCCGCAGAACCATGTTGTTCTTGCTAGAAATATAAAGGTAACCAAGCGCTGATAGCCTGTCTCAATCTAGCTATCTTAAAAAAGGCACTCGTTCGCATAGAAATCATTCATCCTCATCATTCAATCATTTATTCCCATCACTTTAACAATAATCGATTATTTGTTTCACTGGTAGGTATGAATATGAGTAACGTCGCTAAAAGCTTACAGTAAGGTATCATTGAGTAAAGAATATTTCTGAAAAGTTTGTGGCAACCCACTCATTTTTAGATTATGTGAAAGTCATTCCCATACTGTCTTTCGTCTTTTGTTCTCTCGGTATACAAACAAACTGCACGTATAATAAATACCTATATAAATACATGCATACAATTATATACCTTTTGTATTTTTTCTGTACAGTATACTATTAAATAAATAAATATATTTCATAAGCGGCATTTATTTAGTGGCATAAACTAATCAAGTCATATCGAGAAGAATTATATATTAGTGTTGCTTGTCCATTTCCATCATAAGTTTTCAATAATTTCTAACACGTAAAGCTGTACAGTTTTAATGTTTTTAACATGTTATAATAGGCCCTGATCGACCGATAATCCACCGACTGGTGTGACTCAATGGTAATACACACTTAGTTGACACACAATATCTACAGTCTGTCTTTTTTGAAGATGGAGTAAAATGACATTTGTAGGGTTGCCAGTTTGCATAAAATTTTAAATAGTTATGTAGGTCTTATCGATGGTTTTATCGATAGATAGTGAAAGAAGATAAAATTTTGCCAAATGACTGATTTGTGAATTTTACGACGTTCTAATGATTACTAATTGCGTTATTGCCTTCTTTATTCTTATTTTGACAGTTGGCCTCCTAGTATCGTGATCAATTTGTATACATATACATTTTAACAAGAATAACCGGATTTGATTATACAGGCTGTATATTTGAAAGTGGGACATACTTATAGAGTGCGTTATATTCCTGATTCTCAACCCAAAGAAATAATAAACTAATGAACTTAAACTTTACAAAAAATATTTTTTAATTTTTTTTTTATCGACTGCTACTTGAGCACAACATTAGTTATCGAAATCTATGCACATCACTATTATTGCTCCGACGCAGCGGCGAAAAGCAAAGCACAGGTCGGGGGTGAGGGAGGACGCGGGCGCATACGCGAAATTGCTCAGTCCACGCGCGACCTTGATCTAATTAAGACACGTAAATTATTTGTCCTTCCGCTCGCCCGATCGCCGCAAAATGGGTATTTATTCTAACGTGGAATTGACTGAGATGGTGCGACTTTACGCAATAAGTGGTGATAGTGTGAGGCAAGCTATTGAAATGTTCCCATCGGAGTTTACGCGGAGTAGGTGAACAGTGTCGAAGCGTTGCGTGAGAGGATTATCTCAGCATTTTATACTGTGAGACAAAATGTGTTTGTGTTGTACAATTTAAAACAAAATTTACTATGCCGTGCTAGACTATGCATTGTGGAAAACGGTGGACATTTTGAACACTTGCTCCGTACCACGTAAGTGTAAATAAACTGTAAATAACTAAAAAATCAATCATTGTAATTAATTTGATTTCACATTTTTAACTACGCCAAAAACCTCAATTCTTATTAAATGATAACTACTTACTAAATCATAAACTTATATTTTTTAGTACGTAAAACATTTCGATGATAGTTCAAGTAAAAAACAATTAACATAAGCTAAAACGTAAATGTGAAATCATTGTTATTGTTGCTGTCTCACTCGGCGCTCGCTTGGTAGCATTCCCATTGCACTCGAAATGAAGCGTACAGGGAATCGGTTTATTCCTATCTACACTTCAAAACACATTTGTTGATTTATTTTTTGTTCTATCCCATATCCTAATTTTATTTTAGTCTATGTTAAGTTGTAACATGATTTACTATGACATGTATGAATATGTCTCACTTTCAAATATACAGCCTGTATATTGAATTAAAATGAACAACTTTAAAATATGTCTCATCTCCGTATTTTTCATAAACATAGTTCTAAATACATTATAATGTATGTATGAAGTTACAAAAATTGATAATTCAAATGAACTTGTGCTCAGTCACTGGATGAATAATGGGTCGCAGATGATTCAAATGAAACAAATTCGGCTATTTATTCCTTAAGCGTGACCAATATTTAGTCAAAAGATATTTATCGACTGCAATCACTGACTGCCTGCAAGCGGGCAATACTTTAGCGCAATTTACTCCGTCTTCAAAAAAGACGGACTATACTATTAATAAAAGTGAAAAGAAAATTTCACACTTTTAGTCGACCGATTGTTGGAAGCACATATAACCGATTATTTGTTAATTGTGACCTACTTCATCATTGACTTTTTGTTCAACTCAGCTTGTTTTTTGGATAATACATTTCATTCCGGAGGGAAGTCGGTCGTAGGTAGATGACGCAAATTTTAAGAAATAATAATAGCTGAGTGCCTCTTATAATCTTTATATAAACTCGCCGTCCGCTGCTGCTGACCAAGAAGAAGCAGATTGTAGAGGAACCGCTAACAATTTTGTCACTTTTGTCAATTGATAGTGCGTTTAAAGATAATTTCTATCAGCACCATCAAATACATCATCTTAGGTATTTTGTTTCATTTTTGCGTATGTAAATTTTTTAAGCACGTATACATATACGTTTGCACGTATTTTTTAAGGCGTTGTTAGTATGGAATTTACATTGGTGTATTTTCTCCGACATACATTCGGCAACCGATTTTCTCACGTTTCAAAGCTACAAGTTTTTATAAATCTTGTTACAGCTACCTGTTTAATTTCTATTGTTAATTATCCATTATATTTTGCAGAAATACCTAGACCAAGCAGAGCAACCATCCCCTCTAATCACCGAGGGGTGCCTGCTCTCAAAAGTGCCCATTTTACTAAACAAAGCAAGGACGCTCTGCAAGGACACTATCACCAATACAGGGTATCCATCACTGGTGCAATCTTTGGATGATTTTGTTACACTAGTTATTGAAACTAGCTCGCACTTGGGGTCATTGGAGGTATGGAAACTGTTTTATTGTTATCGGGCGTTTTTCTGTTTTTATTTCTTATATTTTTCATTAAACCGAGGAACATAATATCAAGGATGGCTTGGTCATGTGGAAGCGCTATAAGTAAGTATAGCAATTGCACAATTTCGTATTACAAATGTTGATTACCATCCGAGGAAAGATCAGTGTATGAAGTGCCTGTAGGGCTAGCACGACAGAGCGGGACTAGCGCGAGCCTACCCCGCCTACCCCTTTGTAAGACAGGGTGTAGAAACCAAGCAATCAGATATCCAATCTGACAGTTCATTTTTTACCGTTGATGTTTTATTAAAAAACTCGTATCACGCTCAAGCAATTAAGTCCTCAACATCCCTGGGAAAAAAGGAAAATTTACGGTGTTATTATTCTAAACCATAGCTAGGGAGTCAATCTAGTAAATAATTTAAAAAATGATCAGTTGTTGCGTTAGTAGTATCTGTCAACTTATACATGTATATTGTTTCCTAATCACCTATGTACTGTTTCAGATTGACACAAGCCTACCAAAAGACAAGCAAACGTCGCAAGCAAAGAATATAGTTCAGCAAAAACGTAAAGCGCTTGCAGACTTATTTAAGTACCTTGCCAAAATGGGCCTTAACTACCGCACTGGTTTAGTCATTTTGTCGACCAATCAAAGCTTGTATGACTTTACTATACCTCCTGTTGATTTGGATGCTGCGATGAGTTATTTAAAGAATAGGTATTTATGTTTTTTTTATCTGCGAGTTTTACGGTTTCATACTTGAGAAGGAGAAATATTTCTTTACAAGCGTTCTAAAGCGTTCTTTGACATTATGATAAAATTACCTTCATGCATAAAAGTATTTATGTTATAGCGCCGAAAAACTAAACGTAAACACTAAGTCTGAGGAAAACCTTGGATAGTATTTAAAAAGCAGTTAAATATTTTTTTCATAAATACAATGTGGTTACTACGCATTTGTATTATAATTTATTATTAACATCGACCCAAATTACCGTCCATCGTATTCGAATTGTCTTGTTTTTATTTTTTTAACGTGTGTTCAATAAATAGATATGCCTTCGGTATACAGGGTTGTTTTTAAATGACTAATAACCTCGCAGGACTACATTACTAACATTATAACGAGCAACTTTTGTTCTACGACTTTTTACAAAACGCAATAAATTTACCGAAAACAAACTTTTAAATTTTTTCTGTGCTGTCTGGCAGTTTTTAGATCTGTATTTTGGTAATAAGTAGTAATTAAACATATGTATAGCAACGCCTCCCGGCCGCGTGCTGTCTGTTGGTAGGAATTCCCGCGCTTTTTACGCAAGGGCTAAATAATACCTACAAATAATGCAATTTATTTAACAATTAATATTACGAAATGACCTACATCTTTTACGTCGAATAACTAGCACAATTCTTGTGATTAATACCTAGAAGTTAATTAATAGCTTGTTTCCACGTTTAACTCGCTTGCTGGGTTTGTACGAATGGCAGCACATCGAGCTAAATATTGGCGGAGCTAGTTCCGATATACTACGATATTCGAACACAAACATGTAACATGATGTGCTGTTGACAATACGCTGAATCCACAATCCCTTCATACTATAACCAGGCTTAGGACTGGCTGCATTAAAACATAAAATAAGTTTCAACCGTATGTATGTCAAACAGAAAATCGTATAAAATACGACAGAGACTTAAACTGTCTCTGTCGTTTTTTATACGATTTTCTGTTTAAGGATTTCTAGATTTTCGCATGTATTTTTCTTATATTATTTTTTAATGCAGGCGTATTTAAAAAGTGGAATCAGCATATTTACAGTAATTGATTAGTTAATCTACAATAATCCGCATATTTTCAAAATTAAAAAGTTTTTACAAATTATTCGTACCTACCACGGACTTAAATCTAGTCCCGCGGATGGCGGTGAGTATCGCGCACATAGAGTTCAAAATAGTCAACTTCACAACCAACACAAAGACCACACCTAAAAATCAATTGTTCACTGACTCGTGATAACACGTCCGAATTCAATCGAATTTGGTTAAATGACCAAATTATTTTATCCTTCAACATATCGCGACTTGTGATTGCGCGACCAGTGTACACCAACGTCTTTACATGACCCCACAAATAAAAGTCCAACGAAGTGATGTCTGGCGATCTAGGAGGCCAAGCACGAGGTCCGCCACGTCCTATCAGTCGACCTGGATAATTTCTATTCAACACCTCTCTGACTTGGCGAGCATAGTGCGCCGGTGCCCCATCATGCTGATAGTACATGTTACGTAAATGGGCGAGTGGTACATCCTCGAACAACACTGGTAGAGATTCAGTGAGAAAATGATAATATGTTTCTCCGTTTTATCTGTCAAAAAATATGGGGCCCAGTAACGTGGAATTCACAATTCCCGCCCACACATTCACGCTAAAGCGGTGTTGAAAATTATGTGGTCTGGGTTCGTGCGGGTTTTCATAACACCACAAATGCTCGTCACGACTATTGAATAGTCCTACTCTGCCAAATGTAGCCTCGTCTGTCCATAGAATTGTAGGCCGTTCAGCCAGCAACCAATTGCAAAAAGTCACTCGCGCAGGTTTGTCGGGTTCGGTGAGTTCCTGGACACGCTGAAGATGAAAAGGATATTTTCCTTCATTATGGATGACACTCCACGCGAAGTACTGTGAGACATTGAACTGTCGGGCTGCGTCGTTGGTGCTTGCCGCTGGATTGGCTTCAAAAAACTCCAGTATGTCTTCCTGCTCACGCACTGTACGCCTCGGTGGACGACCACGGTCGCTGGACCTAGGGTAAAATTGTCCGTGATCTCTTAATCGCTGTGTGGCAGCTAACATTGTAACTTGGCGTGGTGTAGGTACAGTAGGAAATCGTCTTCCATATTCGCGGCAGGCTTCCGACACATTGTCACCACATATAGCAAGTAACCGCACCATTTCCGTATACTCTACACTTGAATAGCGATACGTCATCGTGCTAACAATTAGAGTTACAAAACAATAAATAACATGTGCATTTACGACGCGAATGCATCAAAATGACTGACCGCCGCCGACGCCCCGCCGCCCGTAGGAGCGTTCCCTTCCCTCCCCCATCCCCTTTCGTGCATCTCGCATCGGATGATTTGTTTACATTAGCGCATCGACATCATAGCCCAATTAGCGTGTTCTTTTCTTACCGCATAGTGTTAATAACCGTTTAGAGCAGACGATTAAATATTTTTGTATGAAAGTAAAATCTGACGAATTATTAAAAGTCATGGAACAAAAGTTGTAGTATATGATGTTAGTAATGTAGTCCTGTGAGGTTATTAGTCATTTAAAAATAACCCTGTATATGTATCCTTTGTGATAAGCCGGACACTGTGAATATCGAGTTCTTAAGTTTTCGCGATTGTTACACAAAGGAAATGAAATCTAAAGCGTGTATATTTGTTTGTTTTCAAACAAACCAACTTTCGGGTTCTTTACAGGCTTTATAATCACGGCTGACTGATATAGTAAATTCATCAACCAGTTATGTCTAAAATTAATGCAAACAATACTACTTCAAGAAACTAGTTTCATTTCCAATATATAACAATCGCGAAAACCTAGGTTTTCGCGATTGTTACATTTATTCTACCTATTATTTATAGTATTTTTATTCTACCTATTAATTGTAGGCGATGTGACGCTTCTCTATCCCTTCTATGGTCTGGTTGTGAGAAGTACTTCCAAAAGAACATTGCACGACATCGGTTTCTAGCTATCGCTTTACAGTCTCCGCATCAGGATATGGGTGTACCGAATATAGAAAGGTGCAAAGGATTTGCCGCACAGTTATTAGTAAGTAAACATTTAAAAAAAACGTATTTTTAAAGCCCTTTTGTAAGATCCTTTTTTCTAGTCTCCATGTTATTTATTAATAATATATTTGTTTCAGAAACTAACAAATTCCCAAAAGAAATCAATATCGAAATACTCCCGACAACTCTGCGACTTACGTACACTTGTTGCCAACCTGACAAACGCATTGGACGTTGACAAAGATGCCAACATTGCAACACTGAAGGACAAAACTGACATTCTAGTTGAATGCTACGCAAATACGAGTATTCTACTTAATCAGTTCAGTGTGGTTTTGAAAGCTTGCCCCGAAAAAGAATTAGGAGAAGAACCTAACTTCGACTCGGTCTTGTCAAATTCACCAATTGTGAAATGCTACAAAAATAGTGAAGAGTGGAAAGAACTGTATGGCAAAATAAAGTCAATGATTGTAATTGTAAATAAACAAAAGTCCGCACTCAACAAAGTCTTGAATTCCATGCCTAAACAAATTGGTAAAAGTCTCAATATTCCTCAAGTATCGCAAAGTCATGTAGACGTCACTAATGAAGCTATAAGCATTCTTAAAATAATGAGAAATGACACTGAAGATATATTAAAGGAATATCAATTCCAATTGAAAATAGCTCCAGATAAAAATTTCATACCTCTACATCCAGTACTAAAGACCATTGACAATTACTCCAAATACTTAAAAGACGTGATTGATAATCTCAACGAATTTGACGTAGTTAGTGATGCGTTAATGGAAGATGACACAAATGAACTGACCAATCAAACTGAAGACTTAATAGCTACAATGTTATTAGTCATCCAATCCATTTACAAAAAACATTTGCCACAAGATAAAAGTAGCGACAACATTGATGTATTGAACGCTATTGATGAAATCATTGACGAACGCAAGGAAAAGGAAGAATCTAAAGAAATTCTTGAAGACAAACATTTGAAGGAACTGCAAGAAAACTTGTCGATTGATTCCAATATGCTACAACTGGAAACACTTGTAGACAAATTGAACGAATTGTTAGTCAGATATGTCCAACACATTGCTACGAATAAGAATACAGAAGTGAGGAATGTTGTAGAGAGGTTAGTTCCTATATTGGAACAAACGTTATTGTTTGTGCAATACTTTGTGACGCAAAAAGTGGCGGTTCACAGGGTGTCTTGTAAGATGCTGTCTGTGTTGTTGAAGATTTTTGGCGACTTAGCCACAAAAGGGTGAGTGAAAAGAAAAAACTAGAATAACAATAAATATTATGTACTGGTATGATAAAAATCTGCGATATATTTCTAAGTGTTTCTAATCTCCAAACCAATAAAAATAATTTTCACTTAATCTTGTAGGTTAAAGGATCTCAAACCCATGATTTTGGGATTTAGATGTTTTTACAAACATTGTTTTAGAACGCTAAAAAATCACGTAATGGTAAAAGACATTATGTCCGATTGTCGTTTGTTTTTTTTTATTTGATTAGACCTTACGATAGATTTTAAATGCCTAATTAAGAGCCACATTTAAAACTTTCAACCTTTAAAACGCTCTGTGGTAAAAATTATTATTTGGCACTTTTCTTCTATTGGCAAGTTTCTTTACCTACAGAAATAATAATTTTGTTTCTGTATATTCGTACAACCACAGGTATATTTCATTAAAAAAAATATTATTATTATTGCCTATTAACAAAGGCACTATTAATAAAGTTTATGATTGTTGATAGTTGTAATAATACGAAAAAATAGTAGCAAATTAGAACAACATGTATGTGGTAATGGTATAAAAGAAATTTTGAAAATATCAGGTTCTGCAAGCCATCAGACTTAGATATGGAAGAAGGCGACGGCGACGGTGGCCCAGGCAAGCTCTCAAGTGGCACTGGTCTAGGCGAAGGCGAAGGTCAAAAAGACGTCTCAGATAGAATAGAAAACCAGGATCAACTTGATGACGCTCAAAACCCAGGCGAAGAAAAGAAGGATGACGACAGAGATTGCAAAGAAGAAGAAAAAGGAATTAATATGACTGATGATTTTGACTCACATTTGCAAGATGTTGAGAAGAAAGGTAAGTAATTGATTATTTAGAATTCCTATTTACAACATAAGATAGAGCATTTCATTCGAATAGCGCAAATCACCACTAAAGAATAAGAATTGATGATTGAATTTTTTTTGCGATCCAGAATACTAATTACCATAAGGTTATGATAATTTTATACTTATTACAGAAGGAGATGAATCTGATCAAGAGGATGACGAAAATAATGCCGATAAACAGATGGGTGACATCGATAACGCTGCTGAAAAGTAAGTAACTGAAAACCTTACAACTCTGTTTCGTAAGTAAATGTAGGTCTTAGTCATAGCATTGCAATGTAGTCACAGCATTACAATGAAATAACTCTACTAACAAATTTTGCAAATCATGACCAAGCTGATTTCCTTAAAATATACTGAATTTAATTAAATCCAAATTTCATTGTAATAAAAACCTAAATTAAATTGCAGACTGGACCAGCAAATCTGGGGTTCCGATGAAGAAGATGTCGAAGACCAAAACGAGAATGAGAAAGAAGAAAAAGGTACAGGAGAAAGCACGGACGAGAAGGAGATGGCTGCCAAAGAAGATGAAAAAGGTACAGACGACGGTAATGAAGGGAAAGATAAAAAACAAAAAAAGGATATTAATAAAATGGAAGAACAAGAGGTTGACGATGATCATATTGATCCGTATTATGGGAATCAGCAGGAAAGGCCTGAGCCCGAAGATTTTGATTTGCCTGAGAATATGGATGTAGATAGTGATGAAATGGGGGATGAAAAGGTAAGTTAGTTTTTGTTTTTAAATAAAATGTAGAACTAAAGTACTTATTATAATGAAAACCAGTCATACGAGAGTATACGTGATAGTATAGTGAATGCTATTTTACAGGAAGGGGAAACAGAGACTGAAAATCCTTTTGACATAGACGTCATGAAAGAAGCCATACCGGAAGAGCCTAAAGAAGAGGACGTAGGTAAAGAGAGCAATCGAGATGGACTGGATGTGTCCAGCGATGAGGAGGATGAGGGTGGGGATGATACTGATCTGAAAAATAGTGAGGAAACTCAGGTAAGAAGCTTTAAACCTCTTTATGTGTTTTTATAGTGTTGTACGCAATGAAAAATATTAGTGTTGATTGTACGGTAAGAAACCCATGATGTCGTACGTATTTGCACATGATGTACATATATAGTTTCAATACCAAAATGAGTTACATTACAGGACAGAGACACAGAAAACAAAGACGAAGAAAAAGTATCCGACACAGACGAACAATCACCCGACGATAGCACAGAACAATCTAAAATAGACGATACAGATCCTGCGCTAGAAGAAACCGAACAGAAACAAAATAATGAAAATGACGTAAACGAAGAATTACCTAAAAACCCTGAAGAGATTAACAATGATGATGAAGTAGAAGAAAAGAAACGAGAAGCTAATCCTCAAGCAAATCCATCCACAAACGATTCAAGTGCGGAAGATAGAGCTGAGAATGCTGAAACAGATAAAGGAACTGATGATAATGTGGACACTAACGCCGAACAGGCTAAGGATGAAGAGGCTGCGCCTTATGTAAGTAGAACACAATATAAATTTATTAGTATAATTGTTAAATTATTGTTGTTGGATGCCACTGTTTCAAATATAGCATGGAGAGTATTCCTTAACTTGGTATATGATTCATGGTTGGAATTTATTATGTTTATGGTAGATACATATAACATGCCTAAATTCTAAAAATAAATAATTCATTTAAAAAGTGCTCGTCGTTACAAACTTTTGAACGATTTATTAAAATTTCTTTCAATGATAAAACTTTCCAACATCCCAGGAGCAAGCTCAAGAACAAGTGGGCGAAGATAAGCAGTCCACTGGACGATCAGAACTCGACAAGAGCGACAAAGGACATCGCGGAGAGAAGCAAGCGGCCAGTCGTGCGCAATATTCCATGGAGAAACAAGATCGACATGAGAACAAGCCTGGAAAAACCGACCATGAACGTACTCTTGGTAAGAACTTTCTTAGGTCCATTGACAGTCATTGTACACTCTAAAAAGAAATTGTCGCAATAAAAACAATCAACATGTAGAAATTTAATGTACAAGTAGACGCTGCTGACTAACGCCACCAATGACAAATATGAGGTGATTCCGTTTACGACAATCGAATGATATTGCCAAGTAATTAAGAAATTATAATGTTTTAATAACGTGTTCATGCTTCAGGCGATATAAACGAAAGGAAACACAAGCAAGCACAAACTCTGAATGTGGAACAAGACAACCAAGAGGAGCAAGGCCCTGATAACGATGATAACGGTGACAAAGAAGCAGACGCTTTCCAACACGTCAAACAGGCTAAAAAGGATGATTTACAGGTAACGACGAACTAACGTAATATCTTAGTGATTTGGGCGTGAGGCTTTGGCTATCAGCGAATTGCTGATAGCCTCGAATACCTGAGAGCAATTGAAGGCAGAATTCGAAAACGAATTTTTGAAAAACTGACAAAATATTATATTCAAATAAAGTACGTAACGCCAGTCATGTGTGCCATTTGGTTGGTGCCAAATATGACAAAACTTTAGATAATATGAAAAACTTTATACCTATATTAAAAAAAACTTTTTCACTTCTCATGCTCTTAAAGTACGTATTTATGCTGCGTGTAGGCTACATAAAATAGGATTTTATGCTCTAGTGCATAAAATAAAATCGTCGTTTAAGACCGAGGCAATGACGCCTGCGCCGACAGCCATGCACACTAGAACTTTATAAAACAAAGTTTTACTTTTATTTTTTAATCTGTGTTATATTGCAAAATTAAAATAGTAGGCAATAGTAATTCTAATAAGTTATAAGAAATAGAAATGCATAAAAAATAGAAGCTTGTAAAATATAACAGAGCATTATGTAGTCCGACCTGAGTCACGTGTAGAAAATAATCGTTTGTTTGTAATATCGAGGAAATTCAACAGCAGTTTAATTTCCTCGCAATCGGAAAAAGCAGAATGTATAACTCGTTCATAAAACCCATAAAATGACGCGTTTTATGCACTTGTTGTACAATCTACTATATACTTTTATTATAAATCGCCTATATTTGTTTTTTTTTTCAAACAAATAACGTTTAGAGCCCTTTACAGGTAATTTACTTTAACGGTCTCCCCAAAATGTTACGGGTAGCGACTAGTTGTACAGAGATCTTCGTCGATATGGACTCAAAAAGCTCCCATTTGATCTTCCACTATTTGGTTTTACGATCCGTCGTTTCCATCGAGTACACACATAATGTCGTTTCAGACTGATCGAAACGACCACTCGACAATGTATGTTTATGTCGTTGTACGTCGTTAACGATTAACTTGAATGCCAGGGGAGTAGCATAAGATTATCGTGACGATCGATCGAAACGGGGAATCGTCTATAAAGCGGGCTTTATCGTCTCGATAGCCTGATGTTAACATAAGCTCTTAAGAGCGAAATGTGAAATAACATTTTGAAACCCATTCGCAATATCATTTTTTGAAGTCCATTAATGAAAATGGAAGTAAATTAATTTGCTACTCCGCGAACCCAGTGATGGTTAAATCGTGCAAAATAGCTGCGTTGAATATTTTTTCATGCAGTTAATTATCCCATCCTGCCAGCCTGCTCACTACCAACGACTTATGTTAAGCCGTAAAAACTGCAATGTGGAGTTTTTATTTGGTATCCACCAGCAACGATGATGACGATTGTCGTTCTGGGCAACTCACATGTAACAATAGTAAACATTCGTGTTGTATTTATCTATATCTATTTATATAGACATTAGATGCAGCAACTAAAGAACAGGCAGATCAACAACCCACGATTCAACAAGACGACGAGGATGCCGAGAAACTGAAACCTGATGAAGAAATTGCTATGGATATTGATGAAGATTTACAGGTTAAAGTTTTAATTATCACTTCATAAATGAAACCTGAATTAGTGGAATACGTACTTTTTACAACCGTAGTCGTAATGTCGCAGATTCGTTTTTTTTCTTTTTCTGATGTAGGCGAGATTGCACTGTTTTCAAGGTCAGCGTGCTATCAAAGCTGCTACTAACAATGTAATTTTTTTATAGGTGGCAAAATCCGAAGAACTGAAACCGGAAAAGATAAAAGAAGGCAAAGACAAGGAACGAGATAAAGCTGGTAATAAAAAGGATTCCAGCGAACAAACGACTGGCGAGACTGGTATTGAAGTGGAAGGAGATAAAATCGAAACTTCCAGCGTGCCTAGAGGGAACGAAACTACTTATCACACTAGGTACATGCACCAAACTTTATGCATGTACATTTTTATTGAATATCATAATGTTTTTACTACCATGAGTAGCAGTAGAACTCCTTGTGAAAGAGTTCGTCCAGGGAAGTACTGACGCTTTACCTATTTCTGCCGCCAACCAGTTATGTGAGCATTACTACGTTCCGGCTTTGAGGGGTAAGTATGGGTGCTGGTGAAATTACAGGTACATGGGAATTTTTAACTTATATCTCTCTTATGGGCGCAGTGGCAGGTCCCCTAAGATCTTTGCGATTTAATGCTCTGAATGGCACTGCATCTGTTATTGACAGGCGTGTCGCTAACCAACTGGCGCGCGACTTGTTCATCCCATCACTTAGTATCATAAAAAAAATTCATCTAATTTTTACGAAAGTGCTCTACTAGTACAAACAGAAAAATTCCTTCTTTCCAACTGGTCTCGAACCAACGTCTATCGCCTCAATGTGGCAACCGCTCTGCCAACGGAGTTACGAATCGTGCCAGCGGGTTTTACAAATTTGTCAATGTGCTTGTTGCGGATCTTTGTATTGGGTTTAAACAGGTCTTCTCTCAAAGGACTCTACGGCAAAAACAGCCGTGGATTAATCTGTGAGAGAAGACGCTAAACCTTTATTGATACCTTAACAGTGTGAGGATAGTTTTTACCACAGACCACATCAGTTTTTACGCACAATTATTGTATTACGTCGCATTGTACATGTAAAATTGGATTTTTGCCTGAAAATAAACAATTAATAATAATTGTTATTTTCAGTTTATTATTAATTATTTTAGATTTTATATTTTGTTTGAAGAAATCGACCAAAATATTTTCTTTTTTTAAAAAAAAAATTGTGTGCGCATTTGACCTGAATCTCACCTGATGAAAGTGAGGACGAGGTCGACGATGGAGCATGCACACCTAAATAATGCCTGTTCATTATCAACTCGATAAGATCGAAGTAATAGTGTTAAGTGATTAAATAAGAATTCGTCTTTTATTAATATTACGAGTATGTTTGTCCACAGGCTCGAAGACCCAGCCCAACACGCGGAAGACATAACAATGGAACAATACATGTCGATTCGCGAATGGCTCAATACTGGTTCTACGCAGAGCACCGATAGTGCGACAGTATGGCGGACGTTGTGGAGCGATTCCAGTACAGCTGCGCGTGCGCTCTGCGAAAGGTTGAGGCTTGTTTTGGAACCTACTGGACGATCTAGACGAGCTGGTAATTATCATTACAACCATTAAAACTGCTTTGGGTCACAGTTGGGCAAAGCTGTCACTTGTATTTGGGTTGATCACAGACATATATCTAGATAGACGCCGCAAGTAAGTGAAATACACTTAGTTGCCGCTGCTACACTTCAGAACGCGCTCGACCGTTATCATAGATAAACACAAGTTACAATTAAACACCAGTTGAAAACGCGAAAAATGCATAATTGTGCCATTGTAAACTGCAAAAGCACCATAACTGTGGATAAACGAGTACACAGGGACATTTCCTTCCACAAGTGATTTTGTAATCAGAAGATGCATCATTTATTTTAAAAGCAATTACTTTGATTTTGTATGAATTTCGAGAAAACAAGTATGCAACAGAGTTTATGCCTCATGATTTGTAATCCATTGCGGCTTTTACTTGGTACGATATATTTGTGATCCTTTGTTAATACGCCATGAATATCGAACGCATTCAGTTTCGTAAAACGGCAGCTGTACATTTTTTTGGCCAAATTTAACATTTAGTGATATACTTATATGTTAGGCAACACGGCTCTCGATTCTAATCGATTTTGAAAACAAAGGGACGAAAATTATTATGACCTTGGCAATATTATAAAAATATTCTAAAACTTGTTTGTTATGACGTTTGGTAACGTTTCGTTCTTTTTTCAGTTTTGTAGTATCTATTATCAGTAGTATCTGTAATTTAAAACCCTCTAACCTAAACCTCTTCTGGTTAATAAGATTTTATCATATTTTGTGAGCAGTAACATTTTCATTTGTCTTGCCATTCATCAATTTGATCAATTACCAACAGAAAACCATCTAGTGAAATTAATTAAGGCAGTCGCAAGTTCATATATTGACGTGCGTTTTCATTATTTAAGTTAATCGATAAGATCTTCTATTACAAAAAGATATAATAAGCTTTATTTTATTGGAAGGACAATAATTTTAATATTTGAAGTCGATTAAAAATTAAAGTCTTAATTTTTTTAAGTATTCGACATTTTTTAAAAACGAATAAAATAAAGGACTTCACTATTTTATTCTAGTATTTTTCTAATTTATATATATATATTAGAAAAATTATTATTACGACTACTTGTAATCAACAAATACTTGAATAAAAATTATTCTATTTAGAATCGATTAATTGAATGAAATACGCGTATTTACGCGTATTCCGTTCAATCAATTAATATAGTTAATATAATAATAATGTTCAAACAATTAATGAAGTTTGATTATAGTGTTCGCATCAAGTAGGGTACATTGTTTTCATATCATTACGTGTATCAAACGCTTTCACCTTATTTTAGAATTGTATCCAGTTTTGTGAACTGAATAAAAAAAAATTATACATTGTTTTCATATCATTACGTGTATCAAACGCTTTCACCTTATTTTAGAATTGTATCCAGTTTTGTGAACTGAATAAAAAAAAATTATGATTGTAATACTGTCACATAATATGAAATAATAAATGATTCTATTCTATCTCCCAAGGGGACTTTCGCACCGGGCGTGCCATAAATATGCGTCGAGTGATCCCCTACATCGCGTCGCACTTCCGCAAGGATCGCATCTGGCTGCGTCGAACCAAACCCGCCAAGAGGGAGTACAAGATCGCCATAGCTATCGATGACTCTAGTTCCATGAGCGATAATAGGAGTAAGGAGCTTGCGTTCGAGAGCTTGGCGCTTGTTTCACAGGTGAGAAACATCTAACAATTTATTGTTACTGATGCCAAAAGTCGCACAAACACAAAGAAAAATATCTTCGATCCGACTGGATTCGAGTTGCCTCACCGTGGCTAACAACTCGAGAGGACTGCTAATCGTGATACAAGAAAGCGTAGTCGGGTATTTATTACTTATTGGTACACCAGATGTCGTAACGAGTACCAAATAGTTATTTTTGTAACTAATTTGTTTTACATTGACAAGCTACAATTTGTCAAAGCTACTCTAATGTTAGTGATAACAAACAAATCAAGTAGATGACGCTTATTGCACATATTTTTATGGATAGTGCCAGCTATGCTTTTATTTTATTTAGGATTAGCGCTATCTACCCTTATTAAGAAGCATTAATTTATAAATTAGTTTGTAACACACAATGCCATCTATTGACACGCATTGTTGTCAGCGTTAACAGAACAATTTTAACTCTTGATCATTGACCTACCAACAAATGGACGTCGGGTGTAATACAAAAACTACGAAAAAAATGTCCGAAGTTAATCTATACAAAC